TCGAATTCGTCTGAATATTCGCAGGAATATTTTTTATCATGGTACAGTGAGATTTTGCGAAATCGTAGCGAAGTCATGGGAAAAACTAGGCCAAGAACGTGATTTCAGTGACAGGACTCATTTTTACTTTTAATGCGGAACAGTCAAACATCACTATTGAAAAAGACACAAGTTTTTAATTAGTAGAAAATTATTCAGCAAAAAATAGCGTCCCCTAGAAGAAGTAGAGAAAAATGGCGCAATTTCAGATCAAATCCAAGAGGACTCAACGGCGATCTCATGAGGAATCGATGGTTCCGCTCACATGTGTATTGGAGTCGGGGCCGAAGCGTGGGTGTTCTATTCCCATCCTCTTCACCTTACACAACAGCTGACAACAAAGATTGCATGAAGCAGTACACGTGAAAGAATCGTTTTTGAAACGGCAATATTCTCAACCAGCTTTTTATTGAAGTTTATTGCGGGATGACTGTGGTGTGCTTTAAACCGAGTTTTGAATTACGAAACGAGCTTTACACGTGGAAAAACTGATTTAATGACTCTTAAATCTCATAAACGAGCCTGAAAGAAGATAAGTCCTCTTGGCAGAGGAGCAATATCACTACAGAATTTATGTTTCCGTCAATAAGGCAAAATTCTTTATTGCTGATGTGCAAGTCTGTTACCATCCAAATTTTCCATCCCTCCAAGTTGGCTACACTTGTCTAGGAGGATACGAATACTAACTTGTACATACTCTGGATCTCGAAGTTTAGGGCGGGCCAAATGCAGCTCAAATGCCACTGCGCCTCTGAATGGGAGCGGAATTCGTGGCTCATCCTCAAAAAAGGTTGGTCATCGTTGAACGTTTTTGATAGCAAACTTTAAGAGTCCTGGGGCCGTATGCTATCCTCCCTGAAGGGGTTAGGGGACGAAAATTCCTTTAAATTTTCTCTGTCTTCCCAACTGGGATTACCCTGATAAAGGCCTACATTTAATGTATGTATGTAGGTTAAAGTAAACATGCACTGAAAATGAAGAAACTATATCGTTCAAAACAAATAAATTTAAAGGAAACTTTGATCACCTAGCTTCGGGGAAGGATAGCATACGGCCCCTGAACTCAACCGCCTATTCATAATCTTTAGTTTGTAGAAAAAAAACCCTAAGAAAACGACAGACAAAAAGACGCAGGGCGAGCAAGAACTTGTGAGCCTCCTCGCAAAATGAGGAATGAACCTATCTGTAGAAAGTCCTCCTTGTCCTCAATGCATAGATTCAGTAGCACATTAGTTTCGTTGGCTCACAAGAAATTCAAAGGGAATATTTCGCAATCGCCTTCTCGGCAGGGACATAGCGATTGGTAAAACTCATACTGAATTTGTAACTATTTTGATACATCTTTATTATACTAAATCATGTAATATTTTGTCAGTTCTGAACAAAATTGCAATTGTACCTTATTTTTACTAGTAAAATCAAATGTAGCCTCACCTCTGATTTTTATGGATCCAATCTAAAATCAGGAATGCTACAAATCACTAATGGACAGGCAACATTCAACTC